CAGGGGCGGGACGGCCGGGGGTCCTGCAGCAGCCGTGTCCCCAGCAGACTTTACCCCCCCTGTCAGACTCCTGTGGACCCTCTGCTCCCTTCTCGTGCTGCTTTAGGACTTGTCATGGCGAGAAATATCTTTAAATTGAGCTGGGGGTCCATGGAGCGCTCAGGAAGGTGCCTTGGCTGGAGGGTGGTGAGTCCCAGGGGGACTGAGCCATTCTGTGGGGCTGAGCTGGGTCCGTGCTGCCACGGGTCCAGGCCAGGGAGGCTGCCTGCATGCTGCCTAAGTCGTGCTGAGGAAGGGATTTCCAAGAGCCAAAGAGGCTTAGGCAGTCTGTATCCCATTAGCAGACAGCGGGATTGTGCCTCTGCGCGCTGAAGGGCTTTGCAGGGCGGAGTCGGGATCTGCAGCTCTGCAAAGTTGCTCCTCACTTACGGTGCTCTGTGCAAGAGGAGAGCCAGGAAAGGGCTTGACTTGCGGAGGAGATTCCTCAGGCCACAGCTCATTTATTTCTTAGCACCCTACTCAGCTAGTGAGAGGAAAATTAACTCTATCCCAGACAAAACCAGGACTCCCCCCAATCTACAGGACCTTGGAAGTCTTCCATAAGTCTTCTATACACAAAAGTTTTATTGACATTATTTGGACTCAATGATCTTAAAGGTCTTTTTCAACCTAAAAGATTCTATGATTCTGATATAATAATATCACGTGTGGTTCCTGCAGTACATCTTAAATAGGACACCCCAAGTAGGACAAGCCCATTTTGGGATCCAGGCCCAAATGAGCAGCCGGTGCAACCCCGGGGAGCACCATCAGCACGGCCCAGGGAGGAGCCTTGCTTGCTCCGGGATGGTTGAATCACTGCTGTTCAGGGGTTTGGGGAAACTTGTCTGGATGTCTCCTCTGCTGGCCAAGCCGTCTGCAAAGCCGAAGGCTGCGGTATGAAATATCGGGGCCCCTGTGCTGCAAACAACCCCCCTGGCCCCATTTTTCACACTGGAATGACCTCCTCCTGGCAGTTGCGTCCAAGCACGCTGCTCCATGACAGCTACCTGGGATGGCTTTTCTTTTTCTCCTTCCAGCCTTTTCTTTCCTCTGGTCCCAAAAGAAGGAGGATTAATTAAAAAAAAAACAAAAAAGAAAAAAACACACCACAGACTGAAAGAAGCACTGCCTCAAATGAAAGCCTCCAGCTTGTGGCGAGGGAGCCGGCAGCCGGGTGCCGAGCGGGAAAGCCGAGCGCCCTGACACACGTGCCTCTTCTCTCTTGCAGATGACGGAGGGCCGCAGATGCCAAGTGCACCTCCTGGACGACAGAAAGCTGGAGCTCCTCGTTCAGGTAGGAATGGCACGCTTCACCACGCGGTAGTCGACTACGGCCACGTATTTTCACTGAGGTGGGGAGAGAAAAGGGGTTTCAGCGGTTTTCTCAGCGACTTCACTCCGTGATTGCATGCAGAGCTCAGGGAAGCTACATCAGGGCTGGGTGGGGAGGATCTGCCAAGACATATCTGTGGGAAGGACTAATTCAGGACATATTTTACTTTATTCTGTGCCAAAACTGTCCCAGTCACTGCCAGTGAGATAGAAAGGCGGCTCTGGTCATTTTTGACACTGTTACTACATCACTTAGCTATTTTTTGAGGCATTGCTTAGCTTTGAGAAATGTATTGCATCTGCTTAAAAAACCTCCAGCATTTGTTTTTGCCTTCTTTCCTTCCCATCCTATGCTGCTGGGGTACGATGCCGGGCTCCACGCCGCCGGCGGCTGTGCCCCACGCACCCACCTGTGCTGGGAGCACAGCCGGCAGCAGAAGAGGCTGCGGTGGTGGTGCCACGGGCAGGCATTGCTTGAGATGTTACAGAGGTTGTTGTGTGTCAAACACAAGCATGCATTAAAATAAGTCTGTGTTCCATCTGTCTTATTTTTTGTTTTTGGAAAAAAAAAGAGGATAATTAGGAGAAATGAGAGTCTGGTGCTGGCTGTGTAATAATGGGCTGATGGAAGCTGTAGCATCCTGAGTTCTTCTGACAATTCTGGCTCGTGTCTGGGAGGTCACCAATGGGTTAATAACAAGAATTAGAAGAATGTCTTTCCTTTCACAAACGTTGCCGGCCAGCCACAGGCAGCCCAAGAAGCAGGAAATTAAACTTCCCATAGAGCCCAAATCCTTGGCCGCAGCTGATATGCTGGGGGGGGGGCAGGATCCTCTCCAGCCCAACACAAACTCTCGTGTCTGGGAGGTCACCAATGGGTTAATAACAAGAATTAGAAGAATGTCTTTCCTTTCACAAACGTTGCCGGCCAGCCACAGGCAGCCCAAGAAGCAGGAAATTAAACTTCCCATAGAGCCCAAATCCTTGGCCGCAGATGATAAGCTGGGGGGGGGGCAGGATCCTATCCAGCCAAGACAAACCTGAATGGGGATTGCTGAAGGTGACTTGAATCGCCGGAAGCACATTCAGCCTCGCTTTCTGGAAAGTCGCTTAAAAATACCATTAACAAAATGTTAATGGGTAACGTTTTCTCAAGTACTTAGTCACCGAGGAGGTGAAATCACTCAGCTCCCCGTGACACTCGTTGAGTGCCCAGATAACCATGAATGAGCCAGGCAAGGGCTGGAATGAGAACAGATAAATCAGGATGACTAATTAAACCAAAGCACCATGATAATGGTCTCCGCAGGATGAGCATCCCTGCACCAGGCTGCACAGGGCTCGCTGAGGCTCAGCAGCTGGCTAGGGGAAGTTCAGCCGCCTTCGTCACAAGGACGCAGCACTTGGCTCCCCATTTCGTATAAATGCCTTTTTAAATTTCTCTTAGTTCAATGAAAAACGAACGGACTATTGGAGAACAGCTCTGCCAAAGCACTGCTCACAATATAAATAATCACAGTTTAAAATATACTGTGGGAAATCTATATGAGATGCCCAGGCCAACCTGCTTATTTGGGCTTTTTTTATCAATAACACAAAAAAACGACAGTGAAGATGACAGTTGAGGAGGCTGGTTTGGGAAGCTGTGTGTCCATTTCTGAGTAAGCAGAAACAATATCAAGTGATACTGTTCTTTTAAGTGTTTGATCACACGTTCAATGGGAATTTCTCGTGATCAATATAGGAAGCCAGTTGCTCTGTAAATCACACTAACTAGTTTGGAAGTAACCCATGGTTGATTTTTATTCATACAATAAGTCGTTCTGCTGTTTTCAAGTAACGTATGAATGGGGAAAGCCAGGAGGGGTGATTCTGAAAAATTCATGCCCAGAAAAAGCAGTAACCTCTGTAGTTACTGCAGTACCCTCAGCAAGTTTGCTGATGACACCAAACAGGGAGGTGTGGTAGACACACCAGAAGGCTGTGCTGCCATTCAGCATGACCTGGACAGGCTGGAAATTTGGGCAGAGAGGAACCTGATGAGGTTCAACAAAGGCAAATGCAGGGTCCTGCACCTGGGGAGGAACAACCCCATGCATCAGTACAGGCTCAGGGCAGACCTGCTGGAGAGCAGCTCTGTGGAGAGGGACC